CTAATACACATTTTTGTTATAATTCAAAATTTAAAGTAAATCTATCAAACAATTAAAAAAAATCAAATTTTCAGAGATCAATCATTTCACAAATTGCAAGTAAAACCCTACAATCATTCCAATTCAAATGAACTAAGTATAGCGAACTAATCCATTCATTTAGTGAAACTATTTCTGTATTTGCTAAAAAAACGCAAAGTTTAATCAAAATAAGAAGTTGTTTTAACAATTTAAGATCAAAATTTGTATTTTTCTAAACTAAGAGATACAAAATATTAAGTTGAAAAATGTAAGACATGTTAACAGATGGCAGTATTTCACCCTCTTTATTTTTCTAAACTAAGACGATACAAAATATACCAGTAGAAAATTGAAGACTTGTTAACAGATGGCAGTGTTTCACCCTCTTAGTACATTATTAAGGGTTGTTTAGGAGTTGAAGTAAGGTATATCTCTATGAAATGTCTTTGTAATACATTTATATTACAAGAAGACTATAAGCAACATAAAAGTAAATTTTTGGAGCGCCCGACAATTGTTGGGCCAATAATTAACACAAACATAATTCGTTCAAATGAGAAGAAAAAAAAAAGAAATTTTTAGAAAAAAAAAAACAAACCAAAAATACAATATCTTTTCTCAATTTATTTTTCTAATCTTATGTTTCATTCTGAAAACAATACAATTATTGGTTATAATTGTAAATTAATCAAACAATTAAAAAAAATCAGATTCTATATCTATATCAATCATTTTTTTTCTATACTTATGTATGTTTAATTTCTTAAATAAATTTTTTTAATTAATTTACTTAATTTCTATTTAATGAATTACATGTGGAACAGACCAAAAAATTAGTTTTTCCTCTAGTGTTTTTTTTCGTATGTTTAAATACTTAATGTGTAACCAACCATATGTTACAAATTGTCTTACTAACAGACGCAAAAAAAAACAGTTTATTTTTTTTCTTCTTTTGCTTCGTAATTAGTAAGATTTTCTCAAGTTTTATTTCATTTTCTATAATAATTTACTTAATTTCAAGCTTATTTTGTTTAATAATCATTATAACCATGATTTTCTTACTAATAATATGTAAAATAATCATAAAGAAAACCTTTTGATTTTGAAAAACTTTAATTTTTATACATATTTAGAGAACAAAATATGCGACATTCAACGTTAAACTTTAATTTAAGAAGTATATGTTTTCCTTGTAATAAAAGTACATTTATACACATTTTTTTGTATACATATATAATAAAACACTGCCTATAATAGGAAAGTGTACGTATGTGCAAACATGAGTACGTATATGCAAACGGCAAGTACGTATATGCGAACGAACATATAAATATGTACAACATCAATAATGCCACTTTACTCATCTTAAAAAAGTGTTAATAGATGGCAGAATTTCACCCTCTTTATACGTTTCAAGGGTTGTTTAGGGGTTAAAAACAGGTACGTGATGTTAGGGTAAGTACTCTGGTTTCCCTTCAAAGCGAATAAATCTTTCGCCTTTTACTAAAGATTTCCGTGGAGGGGAACA